GAGAAAGAAATAAGCATTCCTAATGAAATGTTAAGTCCAGTGTACTTAATACTGCACAAAGAGAATATTTTATTCAGACGATTTGCAGTGAGATGTAATCTATCCAATAGTGGTGTGTCTTCTACTTCCTGGGTAATGTTTCTAGTTTGTGTGTGTGTTGGGAGGGTAGGACAGGTGAAGAAGGATATCACTACTACTTAAAAACTAGCTCCCAGGAAGGGTCAAATCTAGTTGCTTATAGTGTCACTTTCCTTCATCTCCTCAGGGCAATTGTGCTTAATGTGGGCCAAAGGCTGAAGTCACAGGAATGTGACATTCATTACAGGATTTCTGAAAATAGCTTTTTGTGGAGCTTAGGGGACAGGACAGATGCAACTCCCTGGAGCCTCTGAGAGTACAACTGTATGTCTGCCTTCCTCAGAGTAGACTGAAACTTCAAGTCTTTGTAACAGAGTGTTCTAGAATCCTAGAGTCTAGTTTGACTGGTTTATTATCAATTCTAGAATGATAGATTACACAGGGAGGACTTGAATCAGGTGCAATGGAATAATTATTTCCTTAATGAAAAATCCATTAAATTCTAGGTAAATTACAATAACTGCCTTGTTGGGGAGGGGAGCCACAGATTTGGAAGTTGTGGTGTTTGGGGATTTTTAAAATCTTGACTTAAAAGGTATTTCAAGCAATAATATATTAAGTGTGCAATACTTTTGTCAGGTAGCGTGTGTTGGCTTTGGAAGGGTAAGAAAAGAATTCTTACAGTAGGCTGCTTTTATTTATAAAAGCTAAACTTGGACATGCTTGTTGAGGGCACCTTTGATCATATGTTTAACATTTGGGCTGAAGAGTTCAACCTCATGAGGGATGGAACAGGTTTTTACAGAGTTCCCCTTATCCAAACTATAACATGCATACTGCTTTCTCTGTACATTCTCCACATGTCAGCCTCTAGGGCCAGCTACTGGCAAGTCATTTTGTCCATTTCCATTGGTCTGGCCACAGCAGGACCATCCTGTTTCTTTAAATCACAATGCTCAAATCGCCATGTAGAAACCAACCCCCTATCAATTTTCTCCATATTTAATTCTCAGCTTCTCTTCATATTTTCATTTTTCTGCGTTGGTTTCTATGGTGACAAACCTGTTGGCAGAAGAAGTGGACTCTGCTTTCAGCCTTTTGCACAATCTTTCTAGTGATTCTCAGGTGAGTGTCACATAAAAAGCCAGGAAAAGACTACAGTTCTGTAGGCTAATGCCCCTAATCCCTACCCTAATGCATGCATTTCCCACCCTATCTCCAAATCAGGCCCACCGACCCCAGAGATGAAAAACAGCATTCCAGGACAGTGCCCAAAACCCCTTTACCAATTTGATACAAATACTCAAGGGCCCTTCTGTCCAACTATACATGCAAGAATTGAACCTATTGGTTCAGATGGTTTCTTCTTCCAAGTTGTCGGTGACTTAACTGGCACAATTAATGGCAATGGACAGCTGGGGGCAGCATGAAGCAACTTGCACTTTTTTCCTATAAATTATCCTCAGGATGCCTCTGAAATGTATACAGCCCAGGGAAAAAGATGTCCTCACTGAGCCTTAAATCAGTATCTAACATTAAGACAGTGGGGACCTTTAAACAGATTCTCTCCTAAATGAGTAGTTAAGTGGCATATTAAGGGACAAGGAGTCATCCCTGAGAACTGAGCTCCTGCAGAAGCAGCAGAGATAACAAAGACAGCGATAACTAGAGGACATAGGGAACAGTAGCTGAATATAAGCAAAGGAGCTTCAGTTGGGACAATTCAGGATTCAAGAATGGAAAAGGTAAGAAACCAACTGTAAGCTAAGGACATGGAGCATAGAAAAATGAGTTAAGAGTTAACTGCAGAAAGGGAGTCTGCAAATGAGAGAATAGCTTCATGCAGCCTTTGGCCCAACTCTATATTTTTCCAAGCAATGTTTCTCTTAATAATAGATAGTATATTATGTTTTGAATTTCAGAATTCCATTGTGGCTTGGCATTAAGTTGTATGCTAGCAACCCCAAATCTCCTATGTCCTCAATAAAAAGCAGGAACTGTTTCATCAGAAATTAAACAGTCCTCATATTTGAATGTGCTTTTTATTTTTTTCCAAGTAAAGTCAATGAATTCAGGGGAATGAAAATAGATGTTAGAAATAAAAATGTGAGTATAAAATAAAAATGAGTATCTCAGCTATAGTTAAGAAAATTATCACATGTAAATGATTTTTTTGGTGGGTCTTATAAAGTATGTGATATTTAAGCATATTGAAGTTTTAAAGTTAGCTGATTGTATTGTACAAAGGTATTTTTGGCCCTTAAAGGTTATTTTCCTACATTAAGAAAAGTTTTCTATTAAAAACTTTTTATTGTGACTCAGGTTTTGTGTCTTTGTACAGACACATATACATAGGTGTTTTTCTTTGTGCAACTGTTTTGCACAAATAAAGTTAAATAATGCCCAGTTATGCAGGTCAATTGACCTTTATGATAGCTAGAGTAAGCAAAGCATTTGGTGAATGGACAAAATAAATCACATTATATTTCATTGTATCTTTCCTTGTTTCTACCCCTTCCCCAGCACTCACTAAAAATATTCTTATGTAGTCAGGAAGTCTTCCATAATTTTTTGGAAAGTCCTTAAGGAAACTAAGATGAACATATCAGGCAGATAGAACATAAAGCAGTTCCGGTTATTTGCTAGAATGGCGAGTTATCTTCAGAATGTAGTGCACTTAAATAAATGTTTATTTTCAATACTTGTAGAGTTTCTCCATTCAGAGGACCCTCGTTGATCTTGAATATGGAAAGGCAGTAAGGAATGCCCTGAATGTGCTCTGGGCAGTAAGGGATGTTGTATGCTAAGTTTTACTCTAGGAAATTTAGCTTAGTTTTGATGACACCTAATGTCGATGGAATGTAATAAACGTTTTAATATTGCTTTATGACGTTTAAGCATTTCTCAACTATATTTTCTTCCTTGAAAATGCAAGCCTTACTATTGTTTGGAATAAGAGAAAAATAATTGATAGATAAATTGGATATTTTTGTCTCCAGAGCCAATCAAGTTTCCTTTGTACTCAGTGCATAGAAGGGGCTAAAGGAAGCTTAAGGACAATGACACTGTCTGCATAGGAAGGAATTTTTTCCTAGTTAAAAATCAGAGGTAAACGTACTGAATTTGTAAATTTCAACATCTCAAATAAACTTGCAAAATAAGGTTTGCAAGTACTATAGTTTCATTTTCCCCATTGTAGAACCACCCAAGGGCACCCCTCCCCCCACCCAGGTGTATATAAGTACACCATAATATAAATTCAGGTCTCTTTCTATTCAAAGAAATATTATATTAACAGTAGCAATTCTAAACAAAGAATAGTGATAGGTTTTTAATTGGTTTATAAAGAATTATAAGTAAAAGAATACTAGATACTATATTTTTAGGTTTTTTTTTTTTAAGTATCCATAAAAATTCTTTCATTCCTAGACTATTTGATAATTGGTTACTTTGACCTCAGTTGTTTTGGGGCATAATCCTTTTATTACTGTATAAAGAGGTCCTAATCCTACCTATTCATATTAATATTTTTTCCATATGCTAGACACACACACACACCATTTTTCATTAGAGGTCATATCATTCAGTTAGTGAAATATTTCACTCCTCTGTACATTTAAGAAAAATTCCCACAGTGATGCAATCTTGGGCCAATATTTTAGTAAAATGAAGTCTCTAGAGTCACATTCTTTCTTCACATCTGACTTTACTACCATATGTGCAGCACAGCAATGACTAGAGCTCTGTTAGCCAGAGGGAGAACTTGATTTTGGATCTGTTTTCAGAGAAATCCCATTATATTATTAAGTAATTTTCAAGTTCACAATGCGCAATTGGTAGATGTCTTTATAAGTGCTTCTTTATGACTTCTTTTGCAGTCTTTGTGAACATTTTAATGTGCACCAGTAAACACTAACATTTTACACAGACATATGTATATTAATGCATGAATTTCACTGCATAGTTTATTCGCACTTCCCTTGTAAAGCTTTTATGGAAGAAACAAGCCACGCGATATAGCAAAAGAGGCTTAATCTTTATAAATTGGGGCCTTTTCTGTCTCTTTGCTAGTCTAGGTGGTTGTATACAAATTTGGGGCGGGAGGTCAGGAAACAACTCTTAACATTTAAGGTTTTCTATATAGGTAAACTCTAGCCAATTCAAAACATTGCTTCCTTTAATAAAAAAAAAATTCCCATTTTATAGAAAAATTAAATCATGACATGTTTAATTGAAATGGCTGTATTGTAATATTTTGAGAAATAATTGTGATTTTGAGCTTAAATTATATATAAAAATTGTCATTTTTGTATGTGTTTAAAATCTATCACAATTAACAGTACTTTTTAGTTGAACTACATATTGATGTAAATAAAAACTGGATGAAGACACGTTTACTACTTTATTAACATAGATTGTGAATGTACTTAATGGTTTTTTTTGCAGTATGAGACCATAAAGGCCTTGAAAGCTGCTTCATTTTATGTGCAAAGAAGTCCTATGAATATATATTTTAAATTTACTGAATCAGTGAAATTAATTACTTTGTCAGTTAATTTGCAAATGCAAGATGTATTCTCAAGTTTTATTTTATGTATTGACACTAATCAGTAAAAGTGTACAATGTGATTAGAATGCATTTTGAAGATGCTTTCTGTACAGATACAAAATACAGGGACTAAAATAATGCTGTGCAGTGTATAGCAGAGCCATTTTTCGGCTTTGGTGTACTCAACTTTTTCAGTATTTACAAAAGTGTTTTGAATAACATAAAAGTCTCTTTATTGTATAAATAATAAAATGTCACCTTATTGTAAAGTGTCTCTTGTTTAATAACAAAGCAGATTTCTTAGTCAGCCAGAGTTGTAGTATGAAAGGAGTATGTTTCTTTTATAACAAAAACATAAACATTGTAATCAGTATTTGAAAAAAATGTAACTTTTATTATGAACATATAGTATTTATCTTTATTTGCAATGATTTTTTTCATAATATGAGTATGCCTCAATCATCCAAAAGCTATCAATAATTCTATTTACTTTCCTACTTGTCTACCTATCCATCTATCTATGTAAATTAATATACATTCTATCGATAGTCTACTTAATAGGATTACATGGTAAATTTTATAATGACTTATCAGCCTACTTCTGATATTTTTGGTATAAATAAAAATCTTTTATTTGCTTTTATTAAATTAAGCTCACCTATAACAAATTCCCTTTTAGAAAATTACCACAGGACTACAATTTGGTCTTATGAAGAGTATAAGCAGATTTTAAAATTAAGGCCCTGGAAATTTAAAAAATGCACAAATTGGATTAGAATATACCAACAGAGTAGATTCTATACACAAATACATGCTTAGTAGGTTTTAAACACAGTACATTTCAAGATTTCTATGCAGTATCTGTTGTTATTTTCTTTTGCTGCTATCCATAGAATTAATAAAATGTCTTCAGTATATTTTTTAAATAAAAAAAGGGTATTTTAAAAATGCTCAGACTCTGTGGGAAATATACAGATCCAATCTCTTTAAATTTTTCATCTAGAAGTGTGAGATTACAGTATAGAAACTTAATATTAAGATATAATTTAAAAAACTTGCTTTAAATTCAAAATTGTGAAATTATAATAACATTTTTTACTATTTTTTCTACCAATGCTGTATTTTGTGCAGCATTTCTGTAATATTACAAATGCTGACAAAATGATTTCATAGAACATGGGGAAAAAGGCTAGAAAAGAAACATTTCAAATAGATTAAAACAAAAACAGGAGAGTGAATGTTAATTTAAAACTTATACTGAGACCAATCACATCATAAAAGTCCTATCATGTATAATGAAGACTTGTTTTTTTAACTGCCAAATAAGAGTACTGAATAAAATTCAATTCAATTTCATATATAATAAAACGGTAGAATTTGGATGGTCATATTCAAGTCAGTTGGTCACATTATATGTAACACAAACAGACATGGGAGGGAGGAAAAACACACTTCTACAAAAATGCTTTGTCATTATAAAAATGTTGAATTATACCAAATAAAAATTCACTTCTGAAGAAACTGCTCTGCTGTAAGGGAGATGAAAGTGAGTAGGATGAATCTTCTGCAAAACACTCCGAACAAATGCATGAACACTGTACATGGTTATCGCCATTATAAACGTATACACCACCTTAGGAAAATGTTAGTTATCAATATAAGAATTCTAAGAATTAACATGACCAAGACCAAAACAACTGCAAGTTAAGTAGGAATTCGGTCTCTCAAATATTCCAAAATAGCAGCTGTTCCTTTCATTAATATGGCTGCTCGAGGAACGCGGAATGGATTTCCATCTAGTAGTAATGTTCTAAACAAAAGAGAGAAATTAAGAATGTTAACGTCTTCCATTAAGGAGGCCTTTCTTCTACTTTCATTTTCAATTTTATAAATAAAATTTGTGTATTTTTTCTATTTGTCCCTTCTCAAATCTAAGCATTTAAATTGGAATTGTAACTATAATCATAACCAAAACATTAATTGAATACGTACTATGTGAGAGGTACCATGCCAAGTCATTTACATTCACTGACTTTACATCTAATAAGTAGATATTATTTATTTATGATGTAAATGCCATTAATATTCCTATTTTATAGAGATAAAAATTCCCATTTCATATATTATATAGAAAAGATATATATATAAGGAAACACAAATTCAAGGAGGTAGGAAAGACTTGTCCAAGATCACACAGCTATTAGAGGAACCACCATTTTATCCACCCGCTTCTTAATCTTACAATGACCGTATGCTAAATGGCTGAATTATATATACACAACTATTAGAATGAGCACACTGACAAATACTTGTGCCAATATCCCCCTCCACCCTGGGATATATTAACATAAGTCTGCCCTCTCCCCTCAACCTGACACACACGTAAATCTGTTTACACGTTCTGAAATGAGGTTCAATTTCAGACTTAAGGGCTTGTTGATTTGTTTCTTTATATAACTAGTAATATATCTTTAAAAACTATAAAATAAAAGTCTTTATATTAATTTTCAATAGTGTACAAACAAAAGTGTATAAAAAATAATTCATACCATATAATATAGTAGGATCTAAATTATATCTTCAATACTCCCATGTGCCTTGGAAATTCTTTTAAAAACTAATTTTCTTAATTTATTAAAAAAAGAATTATAGTAGAATCTATTATTGACAGATCCCATATTTGCTAATTTGCCTACTCATTAAATTTATTTGTAACCCCAAATCAATACACATGGCACTTCTGAGGTCATTTCTGTACATGCACGGCGCAGCGAAAAATTTGAGTCACTCAACAGGCACATTCCCAGCTGAGGTGGAACAAGGTGTTGCTCTGCCTTCTTATTTTACAGTTCTCATACTATAAACAAGAGCCCTTTCCATGGTCTATAAGTAAACATATTTTGCATTTTATTCTTTTTGTTGGTGATTTCACTGTTTAAAATTGCCTGTAAGTGCGGTGAAGTGCTGTCTAATTTTCCTAAACACAAGACTGCCATGGGACTAAGAGAGAAAACACACATTAGATAAACTTTATTCAGGCATAAATTACAGTGATGTTTGGCCTAGTTCAATGTTAATGAATCAACGATGTTAAATAAGGTGTCCTAATACAGAAACACACATACAACAAGGGTATGTATTGATTGGTTGAAGAAAATGTTATGACCAAAGGCTCAAAAGAACCTAACAGTAGCTCCCCTATAAGTAATGGTCCATTATTTGCTAATTTGGTGTTCATAAAGACTTTATAGAATATAGCCACTGCAAACAGCAAGAATCACCTGGTACTTGCCTCCTGTGATTCACTGACATGGATGGCAATGCAGATGCCAGTGCTGCCCTAGCCAAGTGAAATATGCCAAACCATCACAGGCAGCTTTCACTAACCGAGCTGCTTCCCATACATTCTGCCTAACTACACAGCTTTCTATTGACATCCCTTTACATTCATTTAACAAACACTTATTGGGTGCTTACAATGTTCCAGGCATGGGGACAACTCTCTTCTAAAGGAGGAAAAAATAAATGATATTTATAAATGAGTCCAAATAAAGCAGGATAGGAAATTAGAGGAGGGACTAACTCTGCCTGGAGAAGAGGAAAGGTTGTCAAAGGTGATGTTTAGGGTGATTACTGATAAAAGCAGGGTAAAGTTACTTGAGGCAGAGATAACACCAAACACAAAGAATAAGAAATAAGAAAGACCATACTGAGCTTTAAACAAATGGTGGTCATCTGTAATCAGAGTTTGAAAAGCTCTCTCTGCATAGTAAGGAGTTCATAATTCCCTGACACGAGGAGAGTTTCAGGTTATACACATACAGTGATGATAAAAGTATCCATATAAATAATCAGTTATTACATTTGCACATACATTATGTCATATAAACAAAGCTAAAAAAAAATTGGTAAGTTTGAAAAACAGAATTGGGATTCTGAGTTTTGTTACCTTTTATTTTTAACAGAACATTACATTTTTTTATTTCTGCTTTCCTGCAAGAGTACCTCAACAAGAGAAAACACTTCAACAAATCAGTCAAACAAATGGAATGAATTAGCAAAGTGGTGCAGTTACCTTAAATTCACACAATTACCAAGCTCTGGTGGAATTTGCAGGAGATCATTATTTTGAAGATCCAATGTGATCAGGTTTTTCATTGTCTTCATTTTCTGAGGGTCCACATATCCAATCTGATTGTTACTTATCAAAATTGTTTCAAGTGTGGGGATACAATACAGTACTTCAGGTAGTATTTTGAACCTATTAAAATATGACCAGAACACCTCAATATACTGGAATCAGAAGCAAAGTCATTCCTTCAAGTAGATGATCTTTAGTTTAAAATCATGATATGAAGTTTTCTTTAGTATAAGTTATTTTATATTTTATATTTATAATGTAGGTCCTATATTCAAATTTTCCAGAATAGGAAGAAGAAAGACATTTTAGAAACCTTGGGACAGATTGTAACAGTTTCTACTTACTGTATAAAACCAAACAAAGTTTATAATAAGTATCCCATGTTTTACTTTTAACATTCAGGAGTCAAGGAAATCTTCCTGAGATTTTTCTACAACATGTCCCCATATAAACATTCTTCCTTAGTTCACTTTCACTTATGAAATAGAATCACTCTCAATGGATTATGTAAAAATTAGAGTTATATTTTGCTTGGACTGAAATTTCCAAAATAAGTGCATTTTTGGCTCTTGAAAAGATGACCAACTAGCATAGGCTGCCAGATTCTTCATTCAGAGAATTCCTGAAGATGCTATACAGAGATGAGAAGGCTGATGGCTCTCAAAGCAATGCTCAGCAATTTATACAAAATCATTGAGAATCTCATGAGGGACAGAGGCTGGCATGGTTTCAGTATAAGGAAAGCTGTAGCCTGGACTAGAAAGGAAAAGGATGGGCTGAAGGCAAGCTTCACGGCTGTGGCCTTTTCACTTCCCCATGCTACCCTCCCTTTGCTGCCTTGAGGTAAAAAAATAAAAAACTAGTGAGGGGTAAATCAAGGCAACTCCAAGTTTCAGAGAGACTGGAGAGTCAGTAGCCAGCAGTACAGATGGACCAAACCGTCCCTAAGTAGTCCCTCCTCTTCATACTCCCCACCAACCCATGAGCAAGGTAATTTAAAGAGATGTAACTTACCCGTTCACATGGAAATCAGAGTTAGCTTTTGACACCTCCCAAAGACAATTACTTGACAATGCAATTACTAGCTCAACAGACAACTAATAGAGACCTGATCGTTCAATTTGCAAATTAAAATTAGGAGAGATCTGAGGACTGCAGATATTTTTAAATAATGAAAAAATGCTATAACCTACATATGAGACAGAACAAATAATGGAGCAGACAGAACAAAAACTTAAATAGGCAGTATTTTAACATTTGTATGCCTTAGCTGCCTCATCTGTACATGAGAATAATAGTTCACCTTATACACTTGCTATAAGAATTAAATTCATATATTTGAGGAGCTTAGGATAGTAGCTGGAATACAGTAATGTTGACTATCAATATTTAAAGTGTTACTAGAATCAATTTTCATCACGGGAAACAATGACATAGTTGTTAAGAGACCAACTTCTAGAGTCAAATCACCTGGACTCAAATCCTAGCTCTATAATTTACTAGCTATGTGAGCCTTTAGTTAATTACTTAACTCCTAATCCTTAATTTTTAAATGGACCTAATAATAGAACATACTATGTGGGGCTTTTGTGAGGATTAAATGAAATATTATATGCAAAGAACTTGGTCCAGTGTCAGCAGATAGGTTCTCAATAAATATTAGCTATTCTTAATTATTAGCAGTATCTTTACAGTGTTTGCAGAATAAAATCTAAGTTTCATTTGGTGTAAAAAGCTCTAAAAGAGCTAGCTACTATTCATATGCCCAGCTTCATTACTTCTACACCTCCACCTCCTCACTTTATGGTCTAAGCCATAATTGAACATCTTGAAGTGTCCCAAACACACCATGCTCTCACATCTTTTTGCCTTAGTATATGCTATGTGCTCTACCTGAGATGCCCTATCCCTGTGTATCTGGTAAATGTCTGTCTCTCAAGTCTCAGTTTAATGATACCTGCTCTACCTTCAAGTAACCTCAGGGAACACCTTTGTCTATGTATTATGCTTCCACTACAGCAACTGAAATTACTTGTTTGCATATATGTCCTCCTACTAGGCTACAGGTTTCTTTAAATGGTTAAAAGGAACTAAAAAATCTGCTAGACATCAGTTGAAAATTCTACAAAAGCAACATTACTTTTAATTCTAAGTAGATCTAAGTGAAAATAAACCTGGATATTTAAATAAAGTAAAAACATAAGGCCTTTTTGTTTGTCTCTTCTAGTTGTATTCTCTAATAAGACTTACAAATTTTACCCAGAATAATCATTAGTTACAAATGTGTGTGTTCTGTCTCTTACCTATTAAAGGAAAGATTGATTGTTTGTAGTTGTATCAATGACTCCATTTCTTCAGGCAAAGAATTTAAGAAATTATTCCTAAATTGGAGAAAAAAAGATGATTTACAAAGTTTGAAAATTTTTACAACTTTAATTTATAATTAAGTGTTGGTCAGACAAAAAATTATAAGCTCAGTTTGTCAATCTTTGATCTAATCTCATTAAGGCTGAGTCCTGAGAATTCTGAATCAGTCAGCTGTTTCAATTATTTGGATAGCACACCAAGTCCAATACCAATATATAACCAGCTGATAATGCAATTAAACTCTTTAATAATAGATTTAACAGGGCAAGCACTGTAAACTAACATCTTATCTCCTCCAAACTGAGCTTGGCAGTACTTCTTGAGCCCTTTAGATCATGCCTGTAAATATCACATTTTTTGATACTACAAGTATTTTACTGGTATATATATATATATATATATCTCACATACAGACATGAAATTCTACTCCAAAAAGAACTGAAAAAATACATGAAAAAAAAGACAGGAAGCTAAAGAGATTCTACATATTTAGAAACACAGCTTTCTCGTACATAAGTATTAAGCAAACCCATTTCTACTCTAGAATTTCAGTTTGCATGATGCATGTATTTTTTAGATCTCATGATGAAGGACAGCAGTAAATAGAATCTCATTTACTTTTGAAAGGATCTAGGAACAATGTTATAAGAAAGGTTAACAAGAAAGTCGGATTCTAGATAATGTGCAATAAAAATATTTGTGAGAAAATTATATCCAACAAGATGGCTATTACAACTGAATAATTTTCTTTAACCTATTTCTTTGCATTCAGAAGTCAAGCCTAATATGTAAAAGTCACACTTTCTATGATTCAACCTTTTTGTTTCCTCTGTACTTTTCTCCAGTTATTGTCTTTACTTATTTATTATAGTGTTGAATGACCCCCTGCTGATATCCCTCCTTTTCCTAGAGTCTTCTACCTACTGATAACAGACATAAAAGCATATTTTAGTCACTTAATTAGAAAACTCCATGTATGCTGATGAATGGGACAAAAAGAAATAAAGACAGCAGCAATGGGGACATGAATTAATTCTCTCTGCTCAGTTATACTAAACTAAAATGTGGTTTTATACTGTTTTGCCAATGTAATTGCCACCCCAAAATAGGAGCAATTTTATAAGTAGAAGCAGAGTATTAGATTTGCTTTAATCCCTTAAGTAAAAAAAAATATATCTATACAAGACGAATAAATCCTCAGACAAATATAACTTAGCTGACTATTGTATGAGCAAAGCAAGAGAGCTTTACTTCAAAATTAAACACACACCTAGTAACAATATATGAACGGTAGGAGCCTACTGATAATAGAGATACAGTTTATAGATAAAGTGTTAGAGCCCAGGCAAATAAAAAATAAATGACTATCTAACTTGAGACATATATTATTATCCTCAAAGAAGTGTGACACTTCTGGTTCTCTCAGTACAACTTAGGTTCTATTTAAATTTTCTATTCCTTCTCCAGATCCTCTTTTCTTTTTGTTGCCATTCATAGTGTTTTTCTTTATTTTACGGCCCTGAATGTTTAATGTAATATCTTGAAACAAAGTAAGTTCTTTTTAAGAGAAGCCATGTTAGCTACTGGGCCAGAATAGGGTTTTGACAGTTTTACACTATTTACTTTCAGGAAAGCAATAATGTCAAGCAAACGATTTCCAGGTGTTATCTGTAATCTTGCTTAAGCATGATTCTAAAGAATGTGTTAATATTTTCTAATATTTTAAATAATTTTTTTATTACTTAACCCTGTAAATTGTCTAAAAGTTATCAATGTCTGATTAAAATATTTTCTAAATGCTTAATTTTAAATTTTTCCTAAAATATCATTAATAAACTACAGGCTAATTTCCATACTTACTTAGGAAATTATTAGGGAAAGGGCAAAAGCTAAGCAAAACTCAAAGATAAGTTGTAATGAAAAAACCAAAGCAGTAGTATCCATAAATACCTGAGATCTAAAAATGTCAATTTTTTAAGCAAACATACTTCTGAGGATATAAAGGAAAACTTATTAAAACTGAGATTCACATCAGAAACCATTTCCTTCAGTTCCACAATCCTGAAACAAAAATAATTTTAAAATATTAGCACTTAAATTCACCACCAGAACTTCAAAGCTACAATCAGGCCATAGCACGGAAAAATCCTATATTATTTCTGCTAACTAAGTTTTCTGTAACTTTTATTTTTCTAACAAAAATTTCAATCAGTATGGATGTGTAACTGAGAAAAATAATTTTTAAGCAGCTTTAATGTTATCTGTCCAAGAATTTCTATTTGACTTTCAACATATGTTCAATTTTAATTTAAGAACCCATTTATTTTATATTTAAACCAGTTATGGACAAAGAAAAAACAAACCTAAGAAATGTTTATACTATATTATGTTAATGACTCAAATCCATAAAATAAATTATTACACATATAATCTGTAACATAGTAGTTTTCTTTTTAGACTGCATAATATAACATCTGTCTCTGAATAGTTCAAAATGTTTTTAAAATATATCAACATTGAAAGTATATTTATTATCCAGATTATTATTACATTTAATCATGCTGCAAGAAAACATTAATTACTAAGTTTGGTAAGTACCATTACTAAGCAACTCATGTCAAAGACTTAAAGAGAAGAGTTGAACATTTCTAGGTAATACTAATCAGTCATTTTAAAGTATGCTATTAATTTAACTATAAGAACAAGAAATGTTACATATGATTTTTTGATAAGTGAAAGTGCTAAATCATTTTTGTCTATCATATTAGGAAAGAAAATCAAATGATGTGCTAAAGAAAATACAGTGAAAGATACAATATGTTTGGCTATCTAACTGACAGAACATTTTTGGAAAGTTTTTGGATAGAATGTATCAACAGCCATACTCTTAGATTTGTAATTCGTCTGAAATATGGCCTAAAGAACAATATTTTTTGTTTTATATATTGCCATAATCAACCTTATGGTAATAGAGAAACGTTAGATTTTAAAAATATTGTTTACAACAGGGAAATATGACAAATAAACTAGTGAAGATACAACTTGTATATAAAATTCTAAATGGTGAAGAGCTTGAAATAAAATATGCCATGAAGACAGAATAAATTAGCAATGAGACTATAAATGATTTTAGTCATTTAGCCTAGTCTGAAACTTCACTTAGTCTAAAATTTTATGAATAAATATTATTTTACAATAATAAATTAATGAGAGGTGTGATTTGTGAAATAAAAACATGAGAAAGAGGACTGTGTTTTAGAAACTCTCTAGAGCAAGGTATGTCTTTACTATATTTTTCCTTTGGCCTTCTAAATGGCTAAAAATATAATGAAATAACTGACAACAGAATAACACTGTTTTGCCTAAGAATAACCAGATTGTGGGATAAACTGAGAAAGTAAGAATTAGGTAGTAAGATAATGTCTTTTAATGCCTATCTTCATTCCCAATCAGCTTGTTTGATCCAAGATCCCTAAAAGCAAATTTATCCTGACAGCAAATCTAAAAGCTTGATTTTTTACATATTAGAAATTTTACATGTACTTTCAAATTTAAGAACTATGAAAAATATTTATTCTTGCAACTAAGATGCAAACAACTGAGAATGAGCCATAACAACAGAAATGACATCATCAACACTTCTTACCTTTTTGGAATTTCAGATAGCTGATTCTTACTGAAATTAATAGATGTGATAATATTGCATTTTGCTGCATCAAACACTTCATCAGGAATCAAAGTTGTTTGTTTATCACTAAATGAAAAGTGGTTTAAAATGTATCATTCTTAACAGTCCAGAAAGATATGATTATTACTTTTTATTTTTAAAGGGCTTTCAAGATTTTATAAGGAGATTTTTCAAGGCAGTTAATTTTGAAGTTCTGTACAGGATACAGAATGCTAGTCTATAGAATGCTAGTCTATAGAATGTTAATTGTTAGGAATTCCAAAAATATATTATGTCACACACAGTGTCACACCTTCTGAGCATTTATATACTTCAGTATGAATAAAAGCAGAGATACATCTTCAGAATCTAGGATGTCTATATAGTCATACAATACATGGATAAGAAATATAGCAAATGGATTCCTCTACTTATAGTAGAACTAAGTGTATAATTTTAAAAATTGTTGTCACCCCTTTTCTTAAAAATTTCTAATAGAGCTATCTGTCAACTTGCTTTAGGCATAGGTAACAATCATTTTTAAAAGTTCATTATTATACTAAACTCATTTTCTCATAACCTAAACCAATTTCTCTCTCCTTTAGCATGTGACAAAGTAGACAGAGTATGGCCTCAGACGAAATTATTCCTGGTTCTGCAATTAACAAGTTTGTGATTTATCTTTCATGAACCTCAGTTCTGTGAACTTAGAGTATGAAGAGCTATTGTTATTTATCCCAGATCTTTTGCAAATGTAAACACACAAATTTCCAGTAAGATTTCCAATAAATGCAAATTCAATCTTACGTGAAAGTATAGTATACTTAAATGAAAGTATAGAACTCTGACATTTGCAGATTAAACAATTTGATGTTGTTATAATTAGCTATTATCCTTACATTATTCTTTAATAATTTTTAATGCCTAATATATCATCCACTTAAAATAATCTTCAGTGGAATGCTAAGTGAATTACTGTATGAACCAGAAAACAGCAGTGCAATATTGTTTAAGAAAGACATTGTAATACAGATAGGTAAAAAGAACCTAAACCTCAGTTATTATGCCATTTATTTCACTTTAGGCACCATTTTCTGCTTTGCAGATGAAGTATTTTTATCTTTTCTGTCAGAAATATTCAACTCATGGAGTACTTATTCTATCAAACTTTGAAGATTTATGCTATTTTTAAAAATTCAGTTGAAGGAATTTATGCCTTGAGATTGAGAATTAATTTATATTTTGAATAGAATACTCCTTTCCAGTTGAAGTCTCTGAGGAAAACAAATTACAAAGAAATTTACAAAACAATCTAAGGTGTATGGTCTTCTGTGCTCTGTGCCTTTAAAAAGTGAGAACTGTTATCCCAAATACAATTGTATCAATACTATTTTATAAATTGTTTGGAGGATTAAAAACAACAGTTTATGTAAAGTACCTAGTGGAATGCTCAGCATAAAACAGGGACTCAATAAATGGTATACACTCAGGATGAAGGGAAGGAAAGCCAGAGATTAAATAAATTCTAAGCTAAGAAATTCTAAGACAAAAATCAAGTCTGTCTCATCATTCAGAGTGTATTTTAACACCTAGCATAGGATTTGTTACCTTGTAGGCTCCAAAAATACCTACTGAATAAAAGTGTATATTATATGTGGAAGACAAGTTGCTAGGTTGCCATGCCATGTTATGTGAGAAGAGGGACAAAAGTTTAAGTGTGAAGAGCACCACTGTTTGTTACAGCATCAAATAAGGAAGCTGGCTTTTAATAGTGATTCCTATAAACATCAAAGAGTAGCAAGAAGGGGTAAGAAAAACGTGAATGAAACACAACAAAACTGAAATGGAGGCTGTATCCGGACTGCCCAGGAGGTAGTTTCAACTGACACATTAAGGAAAAGAGGACAGATACGGATGCTGGCTGTGCAAATAATTAAATAAATCTGGTTACCTATCTGACTTGAGTCTGTATTCTTTTGTATTTTCATTTTACTACCCAGACATGAGGCAATCATGGCAAGAGGTTTCAAAGTATTGATTATTTTTATCATTGTTGCCTTATATAATACTGAAACAATATTTAACAACCATTCCCAATTTTTGCATAGGTATCTTCTTTCACCAGTTGAATATACTTTCATAATAAACATTTTAGACTTGTCTCAATTTACATACCAATATTACAATTGTTTCAGGTTTAATACATATGCTACCATAGCACATTATTATTATGACATATTATTTAATTTGTATTCAGATATATAAATGGTTTGCCTCCTTGGAAGTATTCACTAGATAAATAGTACTTGTTTCTTATTTACTAAAGCAAATCCCCCAATATAAAATCTTCTCTGGGTGCTAGTTATTGAGTCAGAACATTTTATTACCAAACAATACTGTCACTCTCTTATTTTTTTATAATATTAAACTGTTCTTCATCATAAAAAAATTTAATGGTTAATAACCATCTACCTATCTCTTAGGCATAATAAACACATATCATCACAGGAATGGGCATTTAAGTTCATTGTACTTTAAGGTATATATTTCATCATTGTTTTTGCAATTGCTATCATTCCAAATCAAGTACTAATGATTCTAATGAATTTTTCCTCATCAATTGTCCTTTTTCTGAAGGACTATTTCTGAAAGTTTACTATGTGTTTTGTGATGTTTAAAAAATGAATTACATACCTATAGTCTAACATTTTTAATGTGATGATGGCATGTACATTGACTCTGGATTCACTTGGTAGTGTCATAGCGGTTTCAATAAAAGAATCACTTTGGCTAGGTCCATCATCTGGTAAAAGAAAAGTTATATTAAGCCAATATTTATATTACAAAGCCATTTTTTAAATTCCTTAAATATGTAAAAATAGTATAAATGATTTCTAGATATTATTGATGAGACTATCTTTAGTCATATGTTTTATTTCCAATAACTCAAATCTTGGTCTGGTATTTAATATTTAATTAGCAAAAAACATATGGTTTATAACAATGCACCAAAATCTTTTCAGAAAGCCTATATCATAAAGAAAGTTAGAGGGAAAGAAGCTTCAAAGAATAATTACAATGTCAGATGACATGATATTGTACACAAAATCCCTGAAGAATCCACTCGAAAACTACTAGATCTAATATCTGAATTCAGCAAAGTAGCAGGATACAAAATTAATACACAGAAATCAATTGCATTCCTATACACTCATGATGAACTAGCAGAAAGAAAAATCAGGAAAACAATTCCATTCACAATTGCATCAAAAAGAATAAAATACCTAGAAATAAACCTAACCAAGGAAGTGAAAGACCTATGGTCTGAAAACTACAAGACACTCATGAGAGAAATTAAAGAAGATACCAATAAATGGAAACACATCCCATGCTCATGGATAGGAAGAATTAATATTGTCAAAATGGCCATCCTGCCTAAAGCAACCTACAGATTCAATGCAATCCCTATTAAACATCAATAGCATTCTTCAATGAATTAGAGCAAATTGTACTAAAATTTCTTATAGAACCACCAAAGACCCCGAAAAGCCAAAGCAATCCTGAAAAGGAAGAATAAAGCGGGGGTAATTACACGCTGACTTCAAGCTCTAATACAAAGCCAAAGTAATCAAGACAATTTGGTACTGGCACAAGAACCGACCTACAGACCAATGGAACAGACTAGAGAGCCCAGATATAAACCCAAACATATATGGTCAATTAATATACGACAAAGGAGCCATGGACATACAATGGGGAAATAAGAGCTTCTTCAACAGCTGTTGTTGGCAAAACTGGACAACTACATATAAGAGAATGAAACTGGATTATTGTCTAACCCCATACACAAAAGTAAACTCAAAATGGATCAAAGACCTGAATGTAAGTCATGAAACCATAAAACTCTTAGAAAAAAACACAGGCAAAAATCTCTTAGACATAAACATGAGCAACTTCTTCATGAACATATCCCCCTGGGCAAGGGAAAGAAAAGCAAAAATGAACAAGTGGGACTACATCAAACTAAAAAACTTCTGTACAGGAAAGGACATCATCAGTAGAACAAAAAGAGATCCTACAGTATAGGAGAATATATTCATAAATGACATATCCGATAGGGGGTTTACATCCAAATTACAGAAAGAGCTCATGCACCTCAACAAACAAAAAGCAAATAAGCCAATTAAAAAATGGGCAGAGGATCTGACAGACACTTCTACAAAGAAGAAATTCAGATGGCCAACAGGCACATGAAAAGATGCTCCACATCACTAATCATCAGAGAAATGCAAATTAAAACCACAACGAGATATCACCTCATACCAGTAAGGATGGCCACCATCCAAAAGACACACAACAACAAATGTTGGCAAGGATGTGGAGAAAGGGGAACCCACCTACACTGATGGTGGGAATGTAAATTAATTCGGCCATTGTGGAAAGTAGTATGGAGGTTCCTCAAAAAATTAAAATAGAATTATCATTTGACCGAGGAATTCCACTTCTAGGAATTTACCCTAAGAATGCAGAAGCCCAGTTTCAAAAAGACATATGCACCCCTATGTTTATCACAGGACTATTTACAATAGACTAGAAATAGAAGCAACCTAAGTGTCCATCAGTAGATGAAAGGATAAAGAATATGTGGTACATATACACAATGGAATATTATTCAGCCATAAGAAGAAAACAAATCCTACCATTTGCAACAACATGGATGGAACTAGAGTGTATTATGCTCAGTGAAATAAGCCAGGTGGAGAAAGACAAGTATCAAATGATTTCACTCATCTGTGGAGTATAAGAACAAAGAAAAAAACTGAAGGAACAAAACAGCAGCAGACTCACAGAAAACAAGAATGGACTAACAGTTACCAAAGGGAAAGGGACAGGGGAAGATGGGTGCGAAGGGAGGGATAAGGGGGGGCCACACACAATCTCCATAAGGGGGAAAAAGGGGCATTACTATTAGTGCACATAATGTAGCGGTGGGGGGACACAAGGAAGGCAGTATAACACAGAGAAGACAAGTAGTGATTCTATAGCATCTTACCATGCTGATGTACAGTGACTGTAATGGGGTATGTGGTGGGAACTTGATAATAGGACGAATCTAGTAACCACAATGTTGCTCATGTAACTGTACATTAATGATACCAAAAAAATATTTTTTAATAAATAAATAAAACAGTGGTCTAGAAAAAAAAAAGAATAATCACAATGTCTAAGAAGAGACAATGAAAGCAATTCTTTCTCTTAAGAAAAATAATATGGTCCCTTAAAAGGACTTTGTTAACAAAGGAAGGCATTACTTCCCACAAAATGTATACCAAATAGGCAATGGGTTTATGTCAGTTACTTCAGCTTAGGACACATTGAAGCTGATTATCCCCAATCATTTAAAATCTGGTAATTCACATAATGAAGTAAGCTTTTGGCATATTATTTATATTAAAACTTTTTCTTTAAAATATAAGACATTTTATTTTCAATAGACATTTCCTAACATGAATACACACAGTCAACCCCATCACTAATCTCCAGATAATGCTTAACACTGCTATCATATGGTAGCATACAAACAAGATCATACACATTTAAAAGAAACAGCTTTGTGATTATTTTTTAGCAAAAAAGACTTCACCACTCTAGATAGAAGCAAAATAAGATTATTAATTTTCATCACTGTGAAAAAGACAGAAGACTCCTAGTATTCATTTATTAAGAATGGAAGGCATGCCAAAATAACAAGCACATCAGTAGTATCCCTGATCTTGTGCCAGTCAAGGAAGCATTCAATAAACATCTGTTGAATACTGTATAGCTGACAACTCAGATTTGAACTGTGTATATATACTTATATATGGATTTTTTTCAATAAACATTGGAAAAATTGTTGGAGATTTGTGACAAACTGAAAAAATATTTTCCTTTCTCTAGCTTGGTTTATTGTAAAAATATAGTATATCATACATATAACAGACAAAATATGTGTTGATCAACTGTTTGTTATCAGTAAGACTTGCAGTTAAGAGTAGCCTATTAGTAGTTAAGTTTTGAGGCAGTCAAAATTTATACACAGGCACCTCAACCTCCGTGTTCAAGGGCTAACTATATATTTCTCTTGCATTAAGATTCTCAATTATTCATTAATCAATAAATATTCAACTATTTTCATGCAAAAGTCATATGAATATTTTACTTATAAGTAGCACAGAATAACTCACAGAAGAGCTAATGGAAACAAAAGATATAAAGGGAAATATTACCAAATGAATGCTTTGCTATTTAGAAGCTCCCTAGCTGTTTGGTTAGGTCACTTTAAAGGACATGTAATACATATCGCCAAACTATATCAGCAGAGAGACAATATTAAACCAGCAGCAAAACACAGCATTATTTTTTAAATATACATGTATACTACCAAAATTACATGTTGAGATAGAGTATTTTCAACAACCACTTTTATTAATTAGCATCATGGAGAGTGTAAAGAGGGAGACTATTTCTCTTAGGAGGGGCCTAGTATGAGAGGTAGATTTATTTTTCATTATATATCCTTCTATATTGGTTGAATTTTTTTTTTAATCCATGGACATTTACTGATTTTTAAATGAAAAAAAACCTAAGATGGGGGAATTAAAGATGGCAGCATGAGAGGAGAGACAGGGGCTTACTCCTAAAACTGGATACAATTACAAAATTTAATTAGTGCAACTAATCCTGAGAGAGAAACAGGAAAGAGGACGGCATCAGACTGCACACACCTGGAGAAAAAAAGCAGACCTCAGCGAACCGGGTAACGTACCAGAGCTGTGGCTCCACGGGACCTGAGCCCCTCCCCCACCCCAGCTCACCGGTGGGAGGAAGACAAACGGAACAGGGAGGGAGACAAACGGAATAGGGAGGGAGTGGAAGGCTTGAGACTGCTGAATACCTAGCTCCGGAGATCTACTCTGGGAGCACAAACCTACATTTCATGGTGCTTTCATGAGACTTGCATGACTACTGGGTTGAAAAGTTAATACAGGCAGAGTTCCTGGGGA